GGGGAGCAAAGACCAAACCCTGGAACATTGTTGCCACATAGATTGCGTTAGGGCATCCCCAATAGATTACCGAAAAACCTCCCCTAATGATGACCTATTGGGGCTCCCTAATAACACTTTTTATAATTATTGGGCCGGATGAGCGCTCCAGCAGATCACCAATAAATCTTCCCCAATACCTAACCTGGTCTATAGCTCCCACTTGGTAGTGGCACAATGGACGTCGGCGATGGCACGATGGTGTTAGCGACGCGCAACGGCGGTGGCGGTCGGTGGTGGTGGCGGCGGTCGCTAGTTATCAACAATGGCAGCAGCGCTCGGTGGTGATTTGTGGTAGTCGCATAGTGGTGGCGGTGGCGCGGCGGATGGTGGTGGCGGTTAGCTGCGGTTTGATGGTGGGGGCGGCGGCGGTGGCGGTTCGGTTGTAGTCTAATGTTGGTTTGCGGCGGGGCACTGACATGGGGTGTACTGGGGATTGGATGTCCATTTTCGGCAAGCAACTCGTTCCCAACACAGTACACCTATATAGTTTTTTTTTGCAAATACATGTTAACTTTTGTAATACACATTGTATATTTTTCCGTACACACAGGGAACTCTTTTAACAAATTGATTTTTCTAAAATACATGATGAATATTTTTTTCAAATACATGCCCCAGCATTTTTAGCATATAGGGTAAACATTTTTCAAATTCCTGCTGATCATTTTTTAAATGGTATGAGACTTTTGCAAAACAATTAGGCGAACATTTTTTTTACATTGCATTAAAAAATTCAAGAAAATATCATGACTTTTTTGGAACGCGTGAAGTTTCTTTCAAAAGCTTGCCACAAACATTTCTTTGAATGTTACAATTTTTTGATTGTACAGTGCATTTACTAAACATCACAAACTTTCTTTTGAAATGCATGAATATTTTTCAAATATCAACATTTTTTAAATGGTGCAAACAAATATTTTTATTGAAACTTATGATTAAAATAAAAATAAATTTAATTTACTCATGTTTTTGAAAAATTGTTTGAAAATTTTAAAGTGTCCTCACTTTAAAAACTGTTCATGGATTTTTAAAAATTGTTCAGGTTTTCAAAATTTGTCCATGAAGAAATTGTTCGGAATACCAAATTGTGCTCTTATTTTTCAGAAAATGTTTGGAATTACAAATTTTATTCACATTTGAAAAATACTTTCGAAATTTAAAAATTGTTTGTGTTTGCAAAGATATTCTACATTTCAAAATTGTTCGCAATTTGCATAAAATGTTTCAAAAAAATTCTAAAATGTCTTCTAAGCTTGATGCTGCATTATGTTCTTAAACATTTGCCACTCTGTAGTCATTAGCATCAGCTATTGGGGTGGAGTGATAGGAGCCGTTGTTCCGTTTGTAGGTGGTCATGAGAGTTCGATTAATAGGCGACGCAGTTCATCACAGTATTTTTTGTGTCCCACTTCAGTCGGCTGGCCCGAAGCTAAAGCTCGAAGGTAAAAACCAAATAAACAGAACGACGCTGGCCCGAAGAAAATATAAACAAACAAGAGAATGACGCGGTGGGCTGGACCAGCACTGATTTCTGCTGTTGTCACAAATTAGATGTGAGATAATATCTCACATTCAGATGTGATATAACGAAAGCAAGGTCATGGAGGTTAGATTATCATTTCAAAAAAGCATCAAGTGTGACGTCACCGGAATCTCAACGACTTTGTGCGGCCTTCTGTAACAAGCTGGATAAACTGTGACTTTGTGCAGCTAGATTTAATATTCATAGCTTATATGTTAATATATTTTGGTAAACCCAAAAAACATTCTCT